TGACACTGACGAGGGCGAGAAGGACTACCCTTCAATATGACGTCCATGACACTGACGAGGGCGAGAAGGACTACCTATCAATATGGCGTCCGTGACACTGACGAGGGCGAGAAGGACTACCCTGCAATATGACGTCCATGACACTGACGAGGGCGAGAAGGACTACCTATCAATATGGCGTCCGTGAGACTGGTGGTATACATGATACATGTTTAAAGTGTTTTCAGAATGGAATGGCATAATAACTGTTTTCTTTGCACATCATAATGACTGCAGCATATGTGTGCGTATTTTTGTGAGTGTGCATGTTTTATGTAATCATGAATCATACTTCTATAAAAGAGTTACCTCCCTGACGTTTAGCGCACTGTCAGTGTACTGCTGTAGTCTGACACGTTAGTTAATCAGGCTGTCGAAAAAGTTGTTTTCCCTCCATCATGAAACCCAAGCTATGTGATGTGTGCGGGGAGCCACTGAGAAGTCCCGGCAACAGTGCGGAAAGTGTGATCGCGAGAGTTTGGTCACATAGACTGGCGGGAAGTCTCCGTCGCCAGATCCCGTATTCCAAGGCTGTGGTTGGAGTTAACGCAAACCGCCCTTGTCTCCCCAGGTATGAGGCCAACCTCTTGGGAGCATTGAACTAATTTTGAAATGTTGTTTTCAACTATTAATATCATGAAAAAAATCTAGACTTTGTCGGATGTAGTAGCTGTACACAAATGTCATGTAATTATATCTGTTCTAAGTCTACCATATCGTTTGAGTCCCATGATGAACTTCTATTGCCAGTGTCGTAACTTTTAGTTAAATTCTAATTCATCCAAACTGCACAGTTTCCATGCAAATTATATTACATATTACATTAATGCACACTTGGCATTATTTTTCACTTATGTACTAATTAATGTAGTAATGTACTGCAACCTACCTGTAATATATATGTTTAATTATCATGTGTATGACTGCACCGCCTCCAATACTGTCTGTTCGTCTACGTTTCCTTTCAGAATACAACAGCTATAACTTCATCACTGCCGTTTGTTTCCCTAGTGTTTAACTCGTACGGTTAATGATGAAAACTACTAATGTGTTTGTACTTTGCAAGTTCTACCCTGTACAAAATGCTAATCCGATGCTCTTTACAGCACAGATATAGTTTCTTATTCACTGTACCTCCAACATGGGGCGACTAAAGGTGACAGCAGCAGAGTGTTGATGAGTAGAGTAAGATATGACTTTTTATTACAGCATTCTGTATGTAGAGGATTAAAAACACAACAGAAGGCTGGATTGGAATTATTAAACTTCGATTTAGAAATTTTGCAAAAATAATTTAATGTGACGTTTTTAAGGGACGGCTCATCAGCCTCCACATACATACTTTGTGTCAGATAAGTTCTAGCATTTTAAACTTACTTTTACAACCTCCACCATATACGATGGAGATTTAATCCAGTTTAGAGGGCTCTACAGTTGGAGGAGTTTTTCTGATCCCATCCCCACTTTGAATTGGAAACGACTTTTAATAGATCAGGTGCCTTCAGGCATTTATTTTGTAAGTAATTATTGTGTCGTAAAAAGGTTAAGTGATGGTCAAAAATAATACCAAGGAACTTGGCTTCTTTCACTATTTTGATAGGAGTTCCATCCAAAACTAAACCGGGGTCCTTATGTGGCTTATATTTTCTACAAAAATGAATACAGTCTATTTTAGACTTAAAAAACTTAAAACCATTTTCAAGTGAACATTTCTGGATTTTATTTAAACATAATTGGACCGGAGTTGCCTTTTAATAGTATGCATGTTTTCACCACGACAAGACATATTAAAAGCATCCACAAAAAGTGATCCATCAATTGAATCATTTCAAACTTTTTATAAACTATATATCTTAATGTTGAATAATGTGACAGACAAAATACTGCCTTCTGGAACACCCTGATCCTTATTATAATCATCAGACAGGGTAGAACCCACGCGGACTTGAAATTGCCAGTCTGTCAAAACAATCATATATATAAACTGATGTAAATGACCTTGCAATCCAAAATCATGTTAATCATTTAAAATACCATGTTTCCATGTAGCGTTGTATGCTTTTTCTAGATCGAATAAGATAGACACTGCATGTTGTTTGTTTATTAGGGTATTTTTAACGAATCATTTTAAACAGACTAAATGATCAATTGTACTTCTGTTTTTACAGAAACCACATTGGATATTTGTAATTAGCTTATTGGTTTTGATAATTGATCATGCGTTCGATGGTTTTGCAAACGCAGCTGGCCAATGAAATTGGACGATAATTGGAAGGATCAGTATGATCAGCTCCTTGTTTTGGTAGTGGAACAACAACAGCATCACGTTATGAGGAAGGAAACATGGGGCATGTGCAGGGTTTCGAACCATGTCCAATTGCTTTATATTTATAGCAACGGAGTGTATTGGGGACATACACCTCCACTCTGATGTGGACATAACCAGCTTGAATTGAATTTGGAACAGGTGAGCGGGAAAAAGTGAATAAATGTGCGTTCGTTGGAACAGTATTTGATTTATCATCATCATTGAAATTGATTTTTACGTTTACCCACAATTTCTTCTTCGGACATTTCCCATAGAGACGTGTCCTGTCACTGCAAGAGTTCAGAGTCCGGTGTGCAGAAACAGCAACCTCCACATTGGCAAACTGAGTGATTGATAATAAATTGATTGCTGTTTCCTCACACATTCCACCAGAAGAGATCCACTGCGCAAACGTGTCACACTTTTAACTTCCCCACTAGGGCCATGAACAAATTTGGCGAAGGGGTTCAATTTGATTGGTTCATGATCTGTAGCTTCGATCACAAGGAGTGAGTGAGTGAGTGAGTATGGTTTTACGCAGCTTTTAGCAATATTCCAGCAATATCACGACGGGGGACACCAGAAATGGGCTTCACGCATTGTACCCATTACGGGATTTGAACCCGGGTCTTCGGCGTGACGAGCGAATGCTTTAACCACTAGGCTACCCGACACACTAGGGATCGAGCCCAGGAATCAACATGCGATTAACCTCATCAGACGAACGTGTATCCAAATGCCTTTGTTTAGAACCAGAATGATTGTGAGCCATGGTGAAAGATATATGGGTAATTTATGTGAGACTACATGTGGCACAGAGACCTGGGAGTCTTCTACGGATGGATCAAGGGTACATGTTGTACAGTGGATATACAGACCTGGGTGCCTACTACGGGTTGATCAAGGGTACATGTTGTACAGTGGACATACGGACATGGATGTCTTCTATGGGTGGATCAAGGGTACATGTTGTACAGTGGACATACAGACCTGGGTGCCTACTACGGGTGGATCAAGGGTACATGTTGTACAGTGGACATACAGACCCGGGTGCCTACTACGGGTGGATCAAGGGTACATGTTGTACAGTGGACATACAGACCAGGGTGACTTCTATGGGTGGATCAAGGGTACATGTTGTACAGTGGACATACAGACCTGGGAGCCTTCTACGGGTGGATCAAGGGTACATGTTGTACAGTGGATATACAGACCTGGGAGTCTTCTGTGTGTGGATCAAGGGTACATGTTGTACAGTGGATATACGGACATGGGTGTCTTCTATGGTTGGATCAAGGGTACATGTTGTACAGTGGACATACAGACCTGGGTGCCTACTACGGGTGGATCAAGGGTACATGTTGTACAGTGGACATACAGACCCGGGTGCCCACTACGGGTGGATCAAGGGTACATGTTGTACCGTGGACATACAGACCAGGGTGACTTCTACGGTTGGATCAAGGGTACATGTTGTACAGTGGACATACAAACCTGGGAGCCTTCTACGGGTGGATCAAGGGTACAGTTGGCATACAGATATGGGTGTCTTCTAGCGGTGGATCAAGGGTACATGTTGTACAGTGGACATACAGACCTGGGAGTCTTCTGTGTGTGGATCAAGGGTACATGTTGTACAGTGGACATACAGACCTGGGTGCCTACTACGGGTGGATCAAGGGTACATGTTGTACAGTGGATATACAGACATGGGTGCCTACTACGGGTGGATCAAGGGTACATGTTGTACCGTGGACATACAGACCTGGGTGTCTTCTATGGGTGGATCAAGGGTACATGTTGTACAGTGGACATACAGACCTGGGTGTCTTCTACGGATGGATCAAGGGTACATGTTGTACAGTGGACATACGGACATGGGTGTCTACTACGGGTGGATCAAGGGTACATGTTGTACAGTGGACATACAGACCTGGGTGTCTTCTACGGGTGGATCAAGGGTACATGTTGTACAGTGGACATACAGACCTGGGTGACTTCTATGGGTGGATCAAGGGTACATGTTGCACAGTTGACAAACATACATGCGTGTCTTCTACGGGTGGATCAAGGGAACATTTACGGTGGACATACGGACATGGGTGTCTTCTACGGGTGGATCAAGGGTACATGTTGTACAGTGAACATACAGACCCGGGTGTCTTCTACGTTTGGATCAAGGGTACAGTGGGCATACAGACCTGGGTCTCTTCTACGGGTCGATCAAGGGTACAGTGGACATACAGACCTGGGTGTCTTCTACGGGTGGATCAAGGGTATAGTGGACATACAGACCTTGGTGTCGGGGATAGGTAATATATAATTTCCGCAGCGTAAGATAAAAAGAAGTATTTTATGCACATCATTAATGATAAAGGTGTTCGGTCGAGATTAATTAATGTAAACAAGAATTATAATATATTTCAAGTTACTCCAATAGTGATAATACTCTCAACACAAGACCATTGTGGCAACATACTTGGTATGTAACACAATACTCTGAAGAGGTTCCCTGCCTTATTTGCTGCTGTTGTGCCACATGTACACACAGGAATTTTCTGCCAGAGCATTCCTGAGTTGGCTTTTTGCCAAACACTTCGGGCTTAGCTCGATGTTGATCCAGCACCAAGTCAGTCTGCTCGTAACTGCGACTAGCTCCACAGCATCCCTTCATGATGGAACTAACGAGTGTTGTATTCATCAGTCTTGTGTTGTTATGTGGTGTCACAGACGCACATGCTGACACCAGTTTGACCGCCTTGACTGGACAAGTGAAAGTCCTGACCGCAAGTATCCAAGCATGGAAAGGAAGAGTTGTTTATATTAAGACTGATATGAAAAAACACTTTAAGATGTGGGAGTCATCACTGAAAAATGAACTGACTAACACGTTCATTCCTGCCCTGATAAAGCCTCTAGTGAAGCAAGCGATTACGGATAGTCTGAAAGAAGATTACAGTGGGAATATTGTCAGCGGACATGTTCTAGATGTTGTTAACAGCCTGAAAGCCAGTGTACATTATACCAAGACACACATTCAGGCAGTAAGCCAACAGTTCAGACATGTTGAAAGGGAAAGCAACACTTTCAAAGAGAGTCTTGGAAAATTGCGAGGGGAGCTCAATAATGACATCCACAGTTTACAGCTGCAGCTGAATGAGACGGTAGCTCGTCATCGTGATGAAAATATAATGAACACTGCTCTCAGGGATGATATGATGACACTGAATGCAAGCTGTGTGAAGAGAGAAGAGGTTGAAGAGCGCACCAGTGTTGAACATTCATATAGGGAGGGATTGCAGGAAATGCAGCAAAAGTTAAAAACTGACATTCAGAGTTTAAACATCCAACTAAATCAGACCATTGATGATCTGCATGATTCAAAGCAAGTAATCACTGGTCTTAGAGAGGACACGGTGATACTGAATACAAGCTGTGTGAAGAGAGAAGAGGTTGAAGAGCGGACCAGTGTTGACCAATCATACAGGGAGGGATTGCAGGAAATGCAGCGAAAGATAAAAACTGACATTCAGAGTTTAAACATCCAACTAAATCAGACCATTGATGATCTGCATGATTCAAATCAAGTAATCACCGGTCTTACAGAGGACATGGTGACACTGAATGCAAGCTGTGTGATGAGAGAAGATATTAAAGAGGTCGATGTTACTGAAAGGTCGCTGACTACATCGTCGTTGTCGCAGATGTCATTCACAACATCGCCCCCTTCGTTTCCTGGTGCTGCAGGAGGTAAGACATGTAGCAGTGATTTCTTATGAATATGAAAACGGTTTTGTCGCTTAATTTTCAACCATCTCTCTATACATTCTGTGCGAAAGATGTATGAAATACCTTGTCAGCTTGCTGACGGGGTTAACCTCTTTGGACAAGGCGTCGGACCTCTGATCAGAAGGTCCGTGATTGGAATCCCATCACGGGACTCGGACATGTTATGGCCGCTACATCAGCATAGGGGCTTTCAGGGCAAGTCAGCATGAGGTTTACTTTTTCACGTCAACATGTGGCTTACAGGACATGTCAGCATAGACTTTACTGGGCATGTCGAGACAGGGTTTACAGGGCAAGTCAGCATAGACTTTACTGGGCATATCGAGACAGGGTTTACAGGGCAAGTCAGCATAATGTTTACAGGGCATATCGAGACAGGGTTTACAGGGCAAGTCAGCATAATGTTTACAGGGCATATCGAGACAGGGTTTACAGGGCATGTCAGCATAATGTTTACTGGGCATATCGAGACAGGGTTTACAGGGCAAGTCAGCATAGACTTTACTGGGCATATCGAGACAGGGTTTACAGGGCATGTCAGCATAATGTTTACTGGGCATATCGAGACAGGGTTTACAGGGCATGTCAGCATAGACTTTACTGGGCATATCGAGACAGGGTTTACAGGGCATGTCAGCATAGACTTTACTGGGCATATCGAGACAGGGTTTACAGGGCATGTCAGCATAATGTTTACTGGGCATATCGAGACAGGGTTTACAGGGCATGTCAGCATAATGTTTACAGGGCATATCGAGACAGGGTTTACAGGGCATGTCAGCATAATGTTTACAGGGCATATCGAGACAGGGTTTACAGGGCATGTCAGCATAATGTTTACAGGGCATATCGAGACAGGGTTTACAGGGCATGTCAGCATAATGTTTACAGGGCATATCGAGACAGGGTTTACAGGGCATGTCAGCATAATGTTTACAGGGCATGTCAGCATAATGTTTACAGGGCATATCGAGACAGGGTTTACAGGGCAAGTCAGCATAATGTTTACAGGGCATATCGAGACAGGGTTTACAGGGCAAGTCAGCATAATGTTTACAGGGCATGTCGAGACAGGGTTTACAGGGCATGTCAGCATAATGTTTACAGGGCATGTCGAGACAGGGTTTACATGGCCTGTCAGCATAATGTTTACAGGGCATGTCGAGACAGGGTTTACAGGGCAAGTCAGCATAATGTTTACAGGGCATGTCGAGACAGGGTTTACAGGGCAAGTCAGCATAATGTTTACAGGGCATATCGAGACAGGGTTTACAGGGCAAGTCAGCATAATGTTTACAGGGCATATCGAGACAGGGTTTACAGGGCATGTCAGCATAATGTTTACTGGGCATATCGAGACAGGGTTTACAGGGCAAGTCAGCATAGACTTTACTGGGCATATCGAGACAGGGTTTACAGGGCATGTCAGCATAATGTTTACTGGGCATATCGAGACAGGGTTTACAGGGCATTTCAGCATAGACTTTACTGGGCATATCGAGACAGGGTTTACAGGGCATGTCAGCATAGACTTTACTGGGCATATCGAGACAGGGTTTACAGGGCATGTCAGCATAATGTTTACTGGGCATATCGAGACAGGGTTTACAGGGCATGTCAGCATAATGTTTACAGGGCATATCGAGACAGGGTTTACAGGGCATGTCAGCATAATGTTTACAGGGCATATCGAGACAGGGTTTACAGGGCATGTCAGCATAATGTTTACAGGGCATATCGAGACAGGGTTTACAGGGCATGTCAGCATAATGTTTACAGGGCATATCGAGACAGGGTTTACAGGGCATGTCAGCATAATGTTTACAGGGCATATCGAGACAGGGTTTACAGGGCATGTCAGCATAATGTTTACAGGGCATATCGAGACAGGGTTTACAGGGCAAGTCAGCATAATGTTTACAGGGCATATCGAGACAGGGTTTACAGGGCAAGTCAGCATAATGTTTACAGGGCATGTCGAGACAGGGTTTACAGGGCATGTCAGCATAATGTTTACAGGGCATGTCGAGACAGGGTTTACATGGCCTGTCAGCATAATGTTTACAGGGCATGTCGAGACAGGGTTTACAGGGCAAGTCAGCATAATGTTTACAGGGCATGTCGAGACAGGGTTTACAGGGCAAGTCAGCATAATGTTTACAGGGCATATCGAGACAGGGTTTACAGGGCAAGTCAGCATAATGTTTACAGGGCATGTCGAGACAGGGTTTACAGGGCATGTCAGCATAATGTTTACATGGCATATCGAGACAGGGTTACAGGGCATGTCAGCATAATGTTTGCAGGGCATGTCGAGATAGGTTTTGCAGGGCATGTCAGCATAATGTTTACAGGGCATGTCGAGATAGGTTTTGCAGGGCATGTCAGCATGGGGTTTACAGGTTTACTCGCCTCGCTTGTAATAATTTTGTACCTTGAACATACACCGTCAAGCAGTAATAATCGGGTGGACGGATTTCTGTATTATGGAATTTAAAATGCGTTGTTAGCTAGCTATGTGTTTATACAAAGGGTCGCGTCACCCCTTAACTTGAAGATATGCCAACCCTAAATGAATCTTTGGCGAATTCAGTGGGTAAAAACTCGAAATTGCATATAACAAAGGGTAGTTTTTACAGAAATGTTTGGTTCCTATAATCTATTTGTCATTACATTAATCATCCACAGTATATAACCGGACACAATGAATGAAGAAATAGTTTTTAGATATATAAATAACACATCTCATATCCACAATAATTATATAGTGAGCGCGCCGGATCAAAGGAAGGTATCTGCATGAAGGTTTTTCTACTTACAAGTTTCTACTTAGCGAGAATTCATTGTATGTTTATATCATCTTAAATGTATGCGCAAATAAATTGAAAATATGTGTTTTTTTCTGCTGAATCTGAACAAATATCTAATCTCAATTCAAAATCGCAAGTAGATTAATTGCTGTCCGTCATTTTCGTTAACCTTTGATTTGGTTTACTTTTATCACGTACTGACAGTAAGGTTATATTAATTTCAAATACATTCACCTTTGATGCCATAATTAGCACTTGACAAGCACGAAAATAGTACAAATGAATAACCTAACGCTCCTGTGGAATGCAGACACGGGCTTTCCGGGTTTACAAAATTACATTTTAAAACCCACGTCCCGGTCAACCTTCGACGGGCTTCGTCAATCAGGGATCAAGCCTCCCTCATCGTACGGGGTGCTGAAGGTTTCGTCAATCAGGGATCAAGCCTCCCTCATCGTACGGGGTGCTGAAGCTGAAGCGCGAAAACGCTCGGTTCCAGATTACAAAAAGAGGCATCTACTCTATGGTGGGACGACATCAACTTTCAAAACACCCTCTGCATGTTTATCTCCTTAGGCCGTACGCTGAGCAACAAGGAGGTGTATCTGTGGTTATCAGACAAGGACTGCTCATTCCTTGGTCCTGAAAGACATATACTTACTTCATAGGGAACCCACGCAAGCCTCGAACAATGTTGTGACTGTTGTCGCACGGACTCACTGCTTTATCGTAGGATAAAGTACAGTTAGTGCTCTTGATCTTTTAGCAAAGCATCTTAGAATAAAATATAAACATATTTTACGCACGATGATGGGGTAAATTTCTTCAATAAATTAAGTAGACTTAAATTTATACCTAAGCATACATCGGTTGGTCAGGCTCGCTGACTTGGTTGAAGCATGTCATTGATCCAGAATTACACTGGTGGGCGTCATATCCTGGTCAAAATATATATAACGGTGTCCATTGATTCTTACTGACAATAACAACCTGAGTTTAATCTAAATACATGGGAATAACATAGCAGGCAATGGAAATTAGAAAACAATGTTCAGTATTTGACCTGTATGTACCATGTATGTTTGCTATGCACAGTATTGATACTCATATGCAGATATTATGCAACAACGAAATAACGCACCAACTTGCAGGAACCATTTCATTGTCATAACAATCCCATTCAATTAAGGAACTCAAACTAAAATACTAATCATTCCATGGTTGGGAATTATGAGTGTGTAGCGGATGTAATACCCTCGTGGCTTCATCGGATGTTCCAATATAATAAATTCACACATTCTGTGTTTCAGTTTATTATAGATTTGGTCTTTCTTCTGTGTACAGCAGTATAAACTAAAATGTTTAGTCCTGAATTCCTTATGAAAACACATAAAGCTCTTAAAATGACATATGTTTACTAGCCTAGTCGTTATGATATCTGAACGATTGGGATGTTTGGCAAGGACTATAGGACGAGTGTCAATTTCTATCGGTGATGTAGTAATGTTCATTTATGTTGTATGTTGTATGTTGTATGATTATATTCCAAACAAAATAGCAATCTGTTCAGTTCCTGCAACATTTCAACCAAGAGAAGGAATATGTCTCATCAGTTAGCACAGAGGCCACCAGGCAGTGTGCAGCTTAGGCTAATTCAGGAGGTGTTTTTATCCTATAGACACGCGGGGTTAATAATAAACAATCTAAATCTAGTAACTTTAAGCGATTTGTTAGTCTCCATGCTACAGTATATATCAATAATGCCTCTACTACTGCAAATGTTGGGCGGTGGAGTAGCCTAGTGGTTAAAGCGTTCGCTCATCACGCCGAAGACCCGGGTTCGATTCCCGACATGGGTACAATGTGTGAAGCCCATTTCTGGTGTCCCCCGCCGTGATATTGCTGGAATATTGCTAAAAGCGGCGTAAAACATACTCACTCACTCACTGCAAATGTATTATAAATCTAGTTCATCAGTGAATAAATTTGAAAGTCACACACTTGTTGAAAGGCAAAAACTTCACTGTGGCCAGTAGTTATATTGTTTACCTGCAGTTAGTCCTAGGACGATACTCCGATGCATCGGTAGATCACGATGTCTTACTCCTCGATACAATCGATCACAATCGCACAGTAAGTAAAAAAATATTGATTCTAATCTAAAATATATTCTTTAACAAATGTTACACCAAACACTAATTACAAGTAAATATAAGAAGTGAAAAAGTACATATTTTCATCCATTGCGCCATACTGACACTGCCAACTGTAATTTGTTAGTGTGCCAGGTATTTGGCCATCCTGTCTTTGACAAAGATGGCTTACACACCACTGATGAGAGCAAATCCAAGTGTGGTCCTACGTATCGGATCGTGAGCAAGGTATCGTCCTACGTATCGGATCATGACCAAGGTATCGTCCTACGTATCGGATCGTAAGCAAGGTATCGTCCTACGTATCGGATCGTGACCAAGGTATCGTCCTACGTATCGGATCGTGACCAAGGTATCGTCCTACGTATCGGATCGTGAGCAAGGTATCGTCCTACGTATCGGATCGTGAGCAAGGTATCGTCCTACGTATCGGATCGTGAGCAAGGTATCGTCCTACGTATCGGATCGTGAGCAAGGTATCGTCCTACGTATCGGATCGTGAGCAAGGTATCGTCCTACGTATCGGATCGTGAGCAAGGTATCGTCCTACGTATCGGATCGTGAGCAAGGTATCGTCCTACGCATCGGATCGTGAGCAAGGTATCGTCCTACGTATCGGATCGTGAGCAAGGTATCGTCCTACGTATCGGATCGTGAGCTAGGTATCGTCCTACGTATCGGATCGTGAGCAAGGTATCGTCCTACGTATCGGATCTCGCAACTGATGTATCGTCCCAGCCGTAACTGCAATATATTGTTCTCGGGACAACATTTATTGGGGTGGTAGGTAGCCTAGTGGTTAAAGCATTCGCTCTTAATGCTGAAAACCCGGGATCGATTCCCTACATGGGTACAATGTGTGAAGCCCATGTCTGGTGTTCCCCGCCCAGATATTGCTGGAATATTGCTAAGAGCGTGTAAAATCTAACTCACTGACTGAACAGCATATTTATTGTTTCAGCCTCGAGCGACCCGAGTGGAAGCGAAAGGATTAGAACCCAAGAGTCTAATCTACATGGTAGGTGGGAGAACAAGCAGGTGGTGGATAGCGTCACTGTCCAACTGTGTACGAGATGTGGTCACATCAACATGTAAAAAGTATAAGCAGGAAAGTTCACGCCACAAACCTTCATATAGCAGTCTCTACAATAACAAGCTGATGAATGTTAACAATTGTATTGACAGTACAACCATAAGGCTCAATCCAACAAGCCTGTACAGACGCGCGGCTCAGATGAACAGCAATCTCAATGTTTGTGTTGTATATTTATGATAGTCGTTGGAGTGATTTGTCAGTCGCTCGGCTACCTGATATTTATACCTCTGCTAAGATCAACGTATCTAAAATTGTATTCAATAGTGAAAATGTTTTAATACATAAGAGTTGTCGAATGGCCATATCTTGTATATCTATAATGCTTATGTGGTTTGTATAGTTTTCTGAACAGCATGTTCTGTGTTTCAGTCTCGAGTGATCCGAGTCGGACCGAGGGGACACCAGTGACAACACAAAAGACTGCTACACAGGGTGGGTGGTAGAACCCAGCAGGCACAAAGTTTAGGCACTCTTGAATCCCTCAAGCAATGAACAAGCTGGTGTATAGACCCGTGGGGGTTCTGACTTGCTTCTTGCATGTTATCGTATCCCAGTTGTGTCGATCGGTGCTCATGTTGTCAACCACTGGACTGTCAGTATCAGACTCCGCCATCTTATTGCTGGACTACTGCTGAGTGCGGCGTAAAACAACAAACAAACAGACTGACATACTCCAGCGTTCTGTCTTATTATCAATATATTACCAAACAACATTTGTACTGACAGAATCGTCTTAGCTTAGTTCATCAAACGTTAACACTATCAAGCCATAAACAGAATAATGTTACAGCTTCTCGATGTAACAGAAATAGTTGAATCATCAAATAAATAATCATCGATTACATGAACCAGCTGTCGTCATTCACCCCAATCGTTGTATTGTCAGCCATGTTGGAAGTGTTTAATAACGTATCGTGTCACGTATCCATTGTGAGGTGTGAACAATGTAGATGTGTGACGAAGATGTTTGGATGTGTACAGAGTATACTTTGTGTTACAGCGACTTCATCACCAGCAGACTGCAGCCGCCTGTATCACGCCAGCGATGCCGGGAACCTGGAGGAGGTGAAGCGGCTCCTGTCACTGAACGTCGACGTCAACTGTAGGTGGTATAGCAGGACACCGGTGATGGAGGCAGCATACTACGGACACAGAGACGTGGTGGAGCTCCTGGTGAGTAAAGGAGCTGATGTGTCACTGGTGGACAAGGACGGTAACAACATCCTTCACTACGCCTGTACAGGAGGATATGTGGAAGCGGTGAAGCTTGTGCTGTCACTGAACGTGGTGGACATCAACAGTAGAGGATGGAGGAGCAGGACACCGGTGATGGGGGCAGCACACAGCGGACACAGAGACGTGGTGGAGCTCCTGGTGAGTAAAGATGCCGATGTGTCACTGGTGGACGAGGACGGTAACAACATCCTTCACTACGCCTGTGTGGGAGGATATGTGGAGACGGTGAAGTATTTGCTGTCACTGAACGTGGTGGACATCGACGCCAGGGACAACGCTGGCCTGACAGCGGCGGACTGGGCAAGATACTGGGGACGTCAGCGATTGGTGGATCTGCTGGTGTCCAGAGGCGCTCAGTGACGGCAGTGTCGTGGTTGTGTAGACGGTGGAGGAGACGTGACAGTGACGTGGTGTGCTGTTCACGTCGTTCTGTGTAAATATGTCATGATTTAGGTGAAACTCTTTGTAGTTTTTGATATAAACTTTATTTTTGAGATAAATAAAACTTGTAAAAACATTTTCAGACATTTTTCATAAGTTTATTATTAGTCGTGAAACAGACAAATAACTGTTTGTTTACATCTCGCTGCACTCGGTGACCTCAGACTGATCCTAGGTTCGCCCAGCTGATGTGGCATCAAATGTACAATTACAGTGACGTCACACTGCTGATGACATCACGAGTACTGCCCCACGGTCAAGGCCATACATCAAAGTGACTGGGTGTTTTCTCTGTCGATATCGGTAATTCACAGAGCGGCGTAATGCCGGCTTTATGACATCATCTGCACTCGCAAGTTCCATACAGCCACCACGTGGTCGACACAGCTTACCAAAGGCAGAATATATCTTTTTCTATGGAGGTGTTTTCAGTATGTGTCAATTATTGCTGCTTAAATTTAAAAGGAAACATTTCTGGTCGGCGAGGTATATTTGTCACGATTTTAATAAAAAAATTCCGGCTTTAATTCCATGAACAGCAATGCTACCACTTAAATTACAGCAGCAATACTTTGATGGATACAAAGGTAAATGTCAAGCAAAACGTAAGATGATATCAGTAGAGATTCTCGTGGTTAACCCTCATGGTGCCTGGCCGTCAGCTGGCTTTGCATACCGCTCAGTGCCGCAGTGTGATGCGTTTCCAAAACGCATCCATTGAATATAAAGTGTTATGCACAACGTTCTTATTTGTTCACACAGTGTAACCAAATTGTATAATATGCCAATAGAGTTGAGTATATAAAGACAACAAATGCGTAAGATATATGCACTGCATAGCCATCGATAAAAATGCTGGTATTGTAAGTTTCCTACTTTTCTACATTTATTGTGATATTGAAGCACCCGAATGTGGCAAGTAAAGTCAAGTAAGCGCCCTTGTTTGAAATCTAAATGTGCAAATAATTCATTTAATTGGAAAGTACATATCCTAACGGCGAGAGACATATGACATTCATGTCAAAGTACACATTCATTTAGAATTTTCCGTGATTTGTATTAACTGATAAAAAAATCCCGATTAAATTGTCCGTGTTTTTGACGTCAAAACAACATTCACACACAGACTGTTTCAAGATTTTGTTACATTATGAATGAATGTTTCTTAATTCAGTGTGAAAAGTGAGGGACCATATATGGTCATTGAGGCGACAGGGTAGATAAGCGGTGAAAGCATTTGCTCGTCTCGCCGACGCACGCAATGGACAGCTGCACAGTTTGGTTGTAACATGTGCACTGGTAGGTTCACAGAGGGGTGTGTGTGTGTGTGTGTGTGTGTGTGTGTGTGTGTGTGTTGGGATCTGTATCTGTAGCTAATGCCACCTTACATATTCAATCATGTGAGTTGAGATTGCTGATGAGTGAGGATGTTTACTCTACGAAACGATTGTATTCCTTTTTTGGTATCTTTTTTATATATGAAGCTCAATCATGAATCCGAAATTCATCCAACAGCTATTGGCCCAGTCTTTTATTTCGATTCATATGTTTGTTTGTTTGTTTGTTTGTTGTTTAACGCCGCACTCAGCAATATTCCAGCTATATGACGGCGGTTGTAAGTAATCGAGTCTGGACCAGACAGTCCAATGATTTACAACATGAGCATTGATCCCCGCATTTGGGATCGATGATATGCATCAACCAAGTCAGCGAATCTGACCACCCGATCCCGTTAGTCGCCTCTAACCTGTCAAACATTGATATAGACTATATCAGTCCTGCTATAAGTAAGCGATACACACACTGTCTATATAGCTATATAGTGCTATACAGAGCGCTCCAACAGGAAACAAATACCATGTATTGACTTTGTTTCAGTCAACGTCTTGAAGTCGCTCTAGCCGCGTGTTGCCGATGGTGTGCCAGGGAATCTGTTGTGATGCGAGAGCTGTAACACAGTGGTATCCCAGTTTGTCGACCTACCCCTTGTTATCAAATCACAAAGTTGTGCATTTCACTGACCATGTCTCTTAGTTACAATGAAGCCACTGGACTGTCTACATCTATCTGACCAGCACAATGAAAAACATAAAACAAATAACACAATCAAATCACAAAGTACGTAGATTGTCAGAAAGTTTCTCATTACTGGCACATTTATGTACATACAAACATGGGGAAAATAGACAAAACTGGACAAATATTTTATCACGTTACATGCGTCATATTAAGGATTGGGTGCAGTGAGAAATAGTGAGAAAATTGAATATTACAAATAAACTGATCTCGTTCCAATACCTTTAACCTGCCAAGGGTCAAATCGATAACGCACATCCGACATATTCAGGACCAGCATCTCTCATTGTGATAGTCAGATAGAGTCAAATCACACGTACCACGTATACATTCTTGACATACCAGCAACTGTTGAGCTATTATTCTCTCTAAGCTTCAGTCATAAACATCTTTTCATCATCAACGATTCGATCAAATTAAATTATATAATTCTGTCGAGGGTCACTTAAGTTCACCTTAAGGACTACCCTGCAATATGACGTCCATGACACTTGGGAGGGCGAGAAGGACTACCCTTCAATATGACGTCCATGACACTGACGAGGTCGGGAAGGACTACCCTGCAATATGACGTCCATGACACTGACAAGGGCGAGAAGGTCTACCCTGCAATATGACGTCCATGACATTGACGAGGGAGAGAAGGACTATCCTGCAAAATGACGTCCATGACACTGGCGAGGGCGAGAAGGACTACCCTGCAATATGACGTCCATAACACTGACGAGGTCGGGAAGGACTACCCTGCAATATGACGTCCATAACACTGACGAGGTCGGGAAGGACTACCCTGTTATATGACGTCCATGACACTGACGAGGGCGAGAAGGACTACCCTGTTATATGACGTCCATGACACTGACAAGGGTGAGAGGACTACCTTGCAATATGACGTCCGTGACACTGACAGGGGCGAGAAGGACTTCACTGCAATATGACGTCCGTGACACTGACAGGGGCGAGAAGGACTTCACTGCAATATGACGTCCATGACACTGACGAGGGAGAGAAGGACTATCCTGCAATATGACGTCCATGACACTGACGAGGTCAGGAAGGACTACCCTGCAATATGACGTCCGTGACACTGACAAGGGCGAGAAGGTCTACCCTGCAATATGACGTCCATGACATTGACGAGGGAGAGAAGGACTATCCTGCAAAATGACGTCCATGACACTGGCGAGGGCGAGAAGGACTACCCTGCAATATGACGTCCATAACACTGACGAGGTCGGGAAGGACTACCCTGCAATATGACGTCCATAACACTGACGAGGTCGGGAAGGACTACCCTGTTATATGACGTCCATGACACTGACGAGGGCGAGAAGGACTACCCTGTTATATGACGTCCATGACACTGACAAGGGTGAGAGGACTACCTTGCAATATGACGTCCGTGACACTGACAGGGGCGAGAAGGACTTCACTGCAATATGACGTCCGTGACACTGACAGGGGCGAGAAGGACTTCACTGCAATATGACGTCCATGACACTGACGAGGGCAACAAAGTCTACCCTGCGCTACATGTAGTACAAGTGTAAAATAAAGATATCATTCTTGTCACTGATGCGTCAAATTTGGAATGTCCTCAGCTATTGTACTGAGGACTTAAATGTTGCAAACTTGATCAGAAATCGTATGGCGATGTTAACAATTTGCTTGGAAAGAGCATGCTCGATTGTACCTCAAAGGTTGCTGTAGACACAAGGATCGGCTGGAACATTACGCGACTGAAAGAGAAAGTTCATTCTGCTCAACTTTTCAATGCTCTTGCCTTCAAGTCATTTGAATCCTTTACTTGTTTGTTTTTTAAACCATCATGTTTCATGACGTTCCATGTTTTCCAACCCTAAAGTCAATATTTTATGTACGCCTCTCTCAGTTTAAATACTAGATTATATAATATGTGAGATAGATTTATCTTTCCTGGTTAATAACTTCCGGAAAAGGTTGTTTTCTCCCGATGTTTATGTGCCTGATCGGGCGTATCTGCGCCCCAAATCAAAATCAATGTACACGCATTTTTTCGAAGCCCTATAATATATCGTACAGTGTTGTGTTGGCCCAAATAGGCCTTCTGTGGAAAAAGTCTAGATTCCACTACTACTACTACTACTACTACTACTACTACTACTACTACTACTACTACTGTAACCCCTCGAAATGCTAGTAATACTGCTACTACTATAATTAATACTGCTACTCCTGCTGGCGCTACTACTACTACTACTACTTCTACTACCACTACTACTACTAATCATAATAATATTTTATTACCGTCTTCGCCATGCTTGTGGTTTTGACACAGGGGTCCATCCATGGTACGACCCGGAATATGTAGAGGGCGTCATGGAAAATGATAAATACAAAATCCTTTGGAATAGGCCCGTATACAGTCTCAGACGTAGCCAGGCCAACAAACCTGATCTTGTCCTTTTTGATAAATCCAATGAAATCATTTATATCATTGAATTGATAAGATTGAGGACACATATGGCAAATATGCGGACCTCGATCGCTTTCGAAATGTCACGTTTGCATCCTAAGTACCAAATCGTCCGACTCCCCATTGTTCTCGGTGACTTAGGTTTGGTACCTCCCAATCTGTTGAATGACATTGGGAGAGTACCCGGGTTCGCTACCAGGAATACAGCACAATCTGGGTAATGCAGAAGGCTGCAGTGTTGGGGAAAAGTTCTGGGTGGGTTTGACTAGGCAGCGCTTCCTGGGAAAGTCCCACTGGCTGTCTGGGCTGCGTGAAGAGGGGGCAAGGGCCCTGAGCTGATGATGAGCCTAACCAGCGTGACTGTGCCAGGATCACCCAAACCCTCTTTGCTGCATTTTTTATTTTAATATGTACATACTACTACTACTACTACTACTACTACTACTACTACTACTACTACTACTACTACTACTATACATCTGGACACTATATTGGAATGATGGGTGAGTGAATGTTCTTTAACGCCACCAGCGTTCAATAACATTGGATAAAAATGAATCTCGGTGATGTATTATTATCCAAATATGCAGTAATGGACTCGGAATACTCATGTTGGGTGGGCATGACGTCATTCAGGCTAACGTCTTTCCAACTCGGTATCTTACGCTGTTATTTAAGATAGCATATACTGTGTTATACCATAGGTGTAAACAACAGCTAGTTACACGTGACGAACCGGGCTAGAAAAGAAAATATTACGCCACTCGTGAACATTTCTTCTCCCCCCCCCCCCCGTCCCTCGATGAGAGGACTCGACACATGGAATATCCTGTTTATTATATACTTTTTGTATTGTTTTCCACCGAAACATTTACCTTTTCATTACAAATGTAAAACCTTGAAACCTAAATTCCCGATACCTCATATAGAGGGACGGTGAACCACCCCTTGTATTTGCGACTATAAAAGTAGTTTCGTGTTTGCAAAAAAAATTAAAAAAATAAAAACAACGGTAACAAAAAAAATATTAGGGTCACGAAATTTCCGTATCATAGATATAGCTATGATTATATACAAAATCAATTTAAAAAAATATATACTTAAAACTACGAAACCACTGTTGAAAGCGAAAGAGCATTATGCACACAGGTCAAATAAAAAAACGAACAGTCCCGACTGACGAGTTAAGTGAGAGATCTACAGTTCATAACGAAACATTTTCAAGAGAAAAACAAACTGCATGAAGCGATATTAACTCCATAATTGACCATCTGTCCTTGTTTTGCCTTGTCAATGTGGAATTAACGTAAAGAGGAAGTCAACTGTCTATGTGCGGGGCAGACACTTGCGATTTGCGATAAAGGGAGACAATTTGAGGGGGAGCCACTCTTGTATCATAGTTCCGTCAAAGTGTTTTATTCACTGCAGTGAAATATCAAGTGTTTCTCAACTTCGATTATTTACATACGTACCACTGTCATACAGCTGGAATATTGCTGAGTGCGGCGTTGAACAAAAATCAAACCAAATGACAAACGATCTAACACGCCTTCTTTAAAGTTGCGTCCCTTTTGTTGCAGGATCCGGATTCAAATTAGTCATCAAGCTCTTGATCGCGGTTTCGTCAGTATAATCGTCGAGGTAGAGATCTCGAGGTAGAGATGTAAGATGTGATGTAAAAGTCACACTGACCCGCATGTCTATCGATCCAGTCTATTCAAATACACACACCGGTCCAATAGCTGTACATAAATATATTGTGAAAGGTTTCGTTCCACCAGACAGTAATGAAATAAATAGGATAATGGTAACTACTTCACAGTTGACATGTGACATTGTCCCACCAGCCAGCTCGTATTGATTAACGTTGAGTCGATGACGCTGGAGGACGTACCACAGCAACATACTGAGACGCTTAAGTGTAACTTATCATGCAGCTTCTTATTCAGTTAAGTCCAGCATCCTGCTTTAAGGACGACACATTGTCATTGCTTTAAGAAAACGTATACAGGTAAGACAAACGCGCGGTTTATGTACCCTACGCTCTGCCCTGGGACTGGTGACAGTGAAAGTATTGACGTTTTTTACAACGTATTGTTCTTCAGGGTAAAGTAGGACGTTATGTAAGTCTTACAATGTTCTAAGTATGTAAAGTGTGTTGGGGTAGGAGGTGTGGCGACAGACACAATACTGGTGGAAATATATGTAACTACTACTGTTGGTATTTATAAGCAGCGATCATTCGTTAACGATTTTTGTTCAAGTGTAATTGTCATTGAAAGTTCAATGTTTTCACCTTGACAATTGCCTACCAACTCATGTACAGGTCGAGACATTTCTTTGTCATACGACAGCCAACTTTTAACTAATACGGCAGTAGTGACAATAATATCGGCGAGGAATTCAGTAAGATATACCAACATAATTGTATCATGTTATAAAGAACAGATGTTGCTGGTTCGAATTGATTTGCCACCATTGTAGCATTCATATACCTATATTCAAAAAAATGTATCATATATGCATTAGTTATTGTAGATTGTTGTAGGTAGTTCCGTATTGACTGTATTATTACTTAGAAAATTATTTCGCCATTTGTTATGTTGCTTCCACCTTGGCAGTTATACACGGGGTCGTGTGTCGCTGTACAACCGAGATATGCTGTTAACACAGAAGTGAACTGACGTCCAAAAGAAACTTTATCCAACTGAAAATATAAATTTCAGACAAAGTATAATTTTTTTTCGATGAAGTCTATCTTAAACACATAACCTAAATACAACAATAGTGTATGCAGAAAATATTAATCGTCTGTTACATGTTTGCGAGATAACACACGAAAAAGTGAAAAACATGTGCACCACGGACAACTGCAAATGTACGTGCGGGTAAGGGAATAAAACGATTGCAACGGCAAATCTGACATTTACAGTGATAAAAAAACACAAAAGAAATGCCACGACTCACAGTCGAACAATGTGAACGAGCCTTGGGTATGGTACAGATGGGAGCCACACACGCCCATATTGCACGAACCTTCGGGTGCTCACGTGTTGCCGTTACCAACTTGATGCTACGTTACAGACAGACAGGGCGGACCGCTGACAGGCCAAGAACAGGCAGACCCAGGGTGACCACGCCCCATGATGACCGGTACTTGCGTACCTTGCACCTCCGAAATCGCTTCCTGACAGTGACGTCATCGGCGACAAATGCCTTAGGTCACAGGGCTAGTCGACAGACAGTGGCGAGGAGACTCAGGGCTCATGGAATCAGGGCTTTTAGACCATACAGAGGACAGCTATTGACAGCGCAACATCGTCGTCTGCGTTTGAGATGGGCCCGGACTGTACGACGTTGGCAACGACGTGACTGGCAGAGAGTTGTCTTCACTGACGAAAGTCGATTCTGTATGTTTAGGGCTAACGGCGGCGTGTTGCGTGCAGCAGGTCGTACAATATGATGGATGGAGTGTCATGGTGTGGGGAGGGATCTGTGGGCAGGAGAGGACACCGCTGGTCATCGTTGACGGAAACTTAACAGCTCAGCGTTACATGGATAACATTCTTCGTCCAGTTGTCCTACCATTTTTCCAACAGCAGCCACGTGGTGTCATTTATCAGCATGACAACGCTAGAGCCCATACAGCCAGAATTGTCACTAACTTCCTCGCAGCCAACAACGTCAACGTCCTGCCGTGGCCTGCACGCTCACCCGACATGTCCCCCATAGAACACCTCTGGGACTCTCCAACCAACCGGCAAGAACTGATTTTGGCCCTCCAAGAAGAATGGCGTCAAATCCCACTTGACCTCATCAGACGACTGACTTTTTCTGTGCGTCGAAGAGTTTTTGCTTGTATTGAGGCATTTGGTGGTCACACACGCTACTAATGACTTGTTATTGAACGTGAGCGATTGTTTATGTACTCTGCCTCTTGTCCATGATTCTGAAAGCTCGAGTTTTGTACCACACCCAACTTTGGGGGGCTCTGACGTCATTCTCGCGGTATGATTGTCATTTTCAGTGTTGATTATGTTGATATATTGATCTTCTCAATACACTTTACTTCATGCATGTATGTTTTTTTTGTTTTTGAGCAAGAGTGATTTCAAACTCTGGTTAAGTTTCTTTTTGACGTCAGTTTAGACGGATAGGCTGTGCTAATATGATATACTGCTACTGCTTCTACTTCTGCTGCTTCTACTACCACTCCTTCTACTACTTCCACTACGAATTCTACTACTACTACTACCCCTTCCACTATTTCCACTACAAATGCTACTACTACTACTTCTTCTACTACTACTACTACTACTACTACTACTACTACTACTACTACTACTACTACTACTACTACACTTCCACTACTTCCACTATTTCCACTACAAATGCTACTACTACTACTTCTTCTAATACTACGTCTACTACTACAACCACTACTACTACTACTACTACTACACTTCCACTACTTCCACTACAAATGCTACTACTACTACTTCTACTACTACTACTACTACTACTACTACACTACTACTACTACACTTCCACTACTTCCACTACAAATGCTACTACTACTACTTCTACTGCTGCTACTCCTACTACTACTTCTACTGCTATTACTACTACTGCTACTACTTCTGGTACTACTACTACTACTGCTACTACTATTACTACTACTACTACTACTGCTACTCCTACTACTACTTCTACTGCTATTACTACTATTGCTACTACTATTACTACTACTACTGCTACTCCTACTACTACTTCTACTGCTATTACTACTACTGCTACTACTTCTGGTACTACTACTACTGCTACTACTACTGGTAATACTACTACTACTACTACTGGTAATACTACTAATACTACTACTTCTACTGCTATTACTACTATTGCTACTACTTCTGGTACTACTACTACTGCTACTACTATTACTACTACTACTACTACTACTACTGCTACTCCTACTACTACTTCTACTGCTATTACTACTACTGCTACTACTACTGGTAATACTACTACTACTATTACTAGTAGGTATTTCATGGTGACGCACAACAGTAATCTCTCACCAAAGCATCGTTGTTCTGTGTAGTGTGTCCCACACATTCTCAGTCTATACTCCCCGTATAAATTTCTTCTAATCATCTCAAACCCACCTTTTGTTTACAAACTATTTATATGTTGTATTATATCTTAAAATACCCCCAAAAGATAGCCACAGTATCTCAGTGTTATCAATAGATCCTGGCGTATATCAGAAATAGGGAATACTAGTGGGTTCCGCTCTCATCTGTTTGGGCTTTCCTCCCACATCAAGCTGAAAAGCTGTGATAAAACACTATTCCAATAATTAAACCAACTCACTCTATGATACACAGATACTCTGTAGGATTCCACGTGTGTCGACATCATCACTGCGTCTGTTTCAGCAATGATTCGTGTGTGGATGTTGACGTGGCCGGTGACGGAGCAGGAAAGGTCACAACAGGACGAGGAGAAGAAGTCCATATACTTTGACTTGAAGGCGAAAAGATCGAAATCCTTTCACACCCTGAAAGCTTACTTTTCAAATCTAGGTTCTGCTTTCAAACATCCGCAAAAATCTTCAGAAAATGAAGCAGATAATATGATTGAAACCCAGGTGGGTGAAGAACTGGAGGAGCTAGAGGCAGAGCCTGTGGAGGTGAAGCGAGAGGTTCCAGTGACGAACGTTAATGTCCACAAAATGATAGAAGACCTCCAGTCAGAGAAGGGTAAGTACAGTGAGTGAGCGAGTGATTTTAGTTAACGCCGTTTTTAGCAATATTCTAGCAATATCACGGCGGGGGACACAAGAAATGGGCTTCACACATTGTACCCTTGTACGCAGTGTAAGTACAGTCAACTTAGGGGCACATAGGTGGCCCAGCGGTGTAAGGTGCCACAGTTCTCTGCAGTCGTATCAGGATAGGCTGAACATGGGTTCGACTCCCTGATTATGATCCTTGGTTTGACAGTATCCAGTCATCTACGGCGGCACAATTCCCTGTGCAGAGTTGTGTTCATTGGAGACGCCAGCAACCTATGATCGTGGTACCACAACACACTTTATTCTCTAACCCATAACCAAGACACACCTTATTCTCTAACCCATAACCACAACACACTTTATTCTCTAACCCATAACCACGACACACTTTATTCTCTAACCCATAACCACGACACACTTTATTCTCTAACCCATAGCCACGACACACTTTATTCTCTAACCCATAACCACAACACACTTTATTCTCTAACCCATAACCACGACACACTTTATTCTCTAACCCATAACCACCAGACACCTTATTCTCTAACCCATAACCACGACACACTTTATTCTCTAACCCATAACCACAACACACTTTATTCTCTAACCCATAACCACGACACACTTTATTCTCTAACCCATAGCCACGACACACTTTATTCTCTAACCCATAGCCACAACACACTTTATTCTCTAACCCATAACCACGACACACTTTATTCTCTAACCCATAACCACCAGACACCTTATTCTCTAACCCATAACTACGACACACTTTATCCTCTAACCCATAACCACGACACACTTTCCACCAACCCCCATAGCCATGACACACTTTCTATCCCGCCCCATAGCCACGACACACTTTCCATCCACCCCAATAGCCATGACACACTTTCCACACACACCCATAGCCACGACAAACATTCCACCCACCCCCATAGCCACGACACATTTCCCCACCCCCATAGCCACGACACACTTTCCACCCACCCCCATAGCCACAACACACTTTCCACACACCCCCATAGCCAAGACACACTTTCCACCCACCACCATAGCCACGACACACTTTCCATCCACCCCCATAGCCATGACACACTTTCCACACACACCCATAGCCACGACAAACATTCGACCCACCCCCATAGCCACGACACACTTTCCACACACCCCCATAGCCACGACACACTTTCCACACACCCCCATAGCCACGACACACTTTCCACCCACCCCCATAGCCACGACACACTTTCCACCCACCCCCATAGCCACGACACACTTTCCACCCACCCCGATAGCCGTGACACACTTTCCACCCACCCCCATAGCCACGACATACTTTCCACCCACCCCCATAGCCACGACACACTTTCCACCCACCCCTATAACCATGACATACTTTCCACCAACCCCTATAGCCATGACACACTTTCCACCCACCCCTATAGCTAAGACACACTTTCCACCAACCCCCATAGCCACGACATACTTTCCACCCACCCCTATAGCCATGACACACTTTCCACCCACCCCTATAGCTAAGACACACTTTCCACCCACCCCCATAGCCACGACACACTTTCCACCCACCCCCATAGCCATGACATACTTTCCACCCACCCCCATAGCCACGAAATACTTTCCACCAACCCCTAAAGCCATGACACACTTTCCACCCACCCCTATAGCTAAGACACACTTTCCACCCACCCCCATAGCCACGACACACTTTCCACCCACCCCCATAGCCACGACATACTTTCCACCCACCCCCATAGCCACGACACACTTTCCACCCACCCCCATAGCCACGACATACTTTCCACCCACCCCCATAGCCACGACATACTTTCCACCCACCCCCATAGCCACGACATACTTTCCACGCACCCTATAGCCACGACACACTTTCCACCAACCCCTATAGCTAAGACACACTTTCCACCCACCCCAATAGCCATGACACACTTTCCACCAACCCCTATAGCCACGACACACTTTCCACCCACCCCTATAGCTAAGACACACTTTCCACCCACCCCTATAGCCACGACATACTTTCCACCAACCCCTATAGCTAAGACACACTTTCCACCCACCCCTATAGCTAAGACACACTTTCCACCCACCCCCATAGCCACGACATACTTTCCACCCACCCCCATAGCCACGACACACTTTCCACCCACCCCCATAGCCACGACATACTTTCCACCCACCCCCATAGCCACGACACACTTTCCACCCACCCCTATAGCTAAGACACACTTTCCACCAACCCCTATAGCTAAGACACACTTTCCACCCACCCCCATAGCCACGACACACTTTCCACCCACCCCCATAGCCACGACATACTTTCCACCCACCCCCATAGCCACGACACACTTTCCACCCACCCCCATAGCCACGATATACTTTCCACCCACCCCCATAGCCACGACACACTTTCCACCCACCCCTATAGCTAAGACACACTTTCCACCAACCCCTATAGCTAAGACACACTTTCCACCAACCCCTATAGCCACGACACACTTTCCACCCACCCCCATAGCCACGACATACCTTCCACTAACCCCTATAGCCATGACACACTTTCCACCCACCCCTATAGCTAAGACACACTTTCCACCCACCCCCATAGCCACGACACACTTTCCACCCACCCCCATAGCCATGACATACTTTCCACCCACCCCCATAGCCACGAAATACTTTCCACCAACCCCTAAAGCCATGACACACTTTCCACCCACCCCTATAGCTAAGACACACTTTCCACCCACCCCCATAGCCACGACACACTTTCCACCCACCCCCATAGCCACGACATACTTTCCACCCACCCCCATAGCCACGACACACTTTCCACCCACCCCCATAGCCACGACATACTTTCCACCCACCACCATAGCCACGACATACTTTCCACCCACCCCCATAGCCACGACATACTTTCCACGCACCCTATAGCCACGACACACTTTCCACCAACCCCTATAGCTACGACACACTTTCCACCCACCCCAATAGCCATGACACACTTTCCACCAACCCCTATAGCCACGACACACTTTCCACCCACCCCTATAGCTAAGACACACTTTCCACCCACCCCTATAGCCACGACATACTTTCCACCAACCCCTATAGCCATGACACACTTTCCACCCCCCCCCTATAGCCAAGACACACTTTCCACCCACCACCATAGCCACGACACACTTTCCACCAACCCCCACAGCCACGACACACTTCCCACCCACCCCCACAGCCACGACACACTTTCCACCCACCCCTATAGCCACGACATACTTTCCACCAACCCCTATAGCCACGACATACTTTCCACCCACCCCTATAGCCAAAACACACTTTCCACCCACCCTCATAGCCACGACATACTTTCCACTCACCCCCATAGCCACGACACACTTTCCACCAACCCAATAGCCACGACATACTTTCCACCCACCCCTATAGCCAAGACACACTTTCCACCAACCCCTATAGCCACGACATACTTTCCACCCACCCCCACAGCCACGACACACTTTCCACCCACCCCCATAGCCACGACATACTTTCCACCCACCCCCATAGCCACGACATACTTTCCACTCACCCCCATAGCCACGACACACTTTCCACACACACCCATAGCCACGACATACTTTCCACCAACCCCCATAGCCACGACACACTTTCCACCCACCCCCATAGCCACGACATACTTTCCACCAACCCCCATAGCCACGACATACTTTCCACCCACCCTATAGCCACGACACACTTTCCACCCACCCCTATAGCCACGACGCACTTTCCATCCACCCCTATAGCCACGACATACTTTCCACCAACCCCCACAGCCACGACACACTTTCCACCCACCCCCATAGCCACGACATACTTTCCACCCACCCCCATAGCCATGACACACTTTCCACCCACCCCCATAGCCATGACATACTTTCCACCCACCCCCATAGCCACGACATACTTTCCACGCACCCTATAGCCACGACGCACTTTCCACCCACCCCCATAGCCACGACACACATTCCACCCACACCTATAGCCACGACACACTTTCCACCCACCCCAATAGCCACGACACACTTTCCACCCACCCCTATAGCCACGACACACTTTCCATCCACCCCTATAGCCACGACACACTTTCCATCCACCCCTATAGCCACGACACACTTTCCACCCACCCCAATAGCCACGACACACTTTCCACCCACCCCTATAGCCACGACACACTTTCCACCCACCCCAATAGCCACGACACACTTTCCATCGACCCCCATAGCCATGACATACTTTCCAACAACCCCCATAGCCACGACACACTTTCCACCCACCCCTATAGCCACGACACACTTTCCACCCACCCCTATAGCCATGACACACTTTCCACCCACACCCATAGCCACGACACACTTTCCACCCACCCCCATAGCCACGACATACTTTCCACGCACCCTATAGCCACGACACACTTTCCATCCACCCCTATAGCCACGACACACTTTCCACCCACCCCCATAGCCACGACACACTTTCCACCCACCCCCATAGCCACGACATACTTTCCACGCACTCTATAGCCACGACACACTTTCCATCCACCCCTATAGCCACGACATACTTTCCACCCACCCCCATAGCCACGACACACTTTCCACCCACCCCTATAGCCACGACACACTTTCCACTCATCCCTATAGCCACGACAAACATTCCACCCACCCCCATAGCCACGACACACTTTCCACCCACCCCCATAGCCACGACACACTTTCCACACACCCCCATAGCCACGACATACTTTCCACCAACCCCCATAGCCACGACATGCTTTCCACCCACCCCATAGCCACGACACACTTTCCATCCACCCCAATAGCCACGACATACTTTCCACCAACCCCCACAGCCACTACACACTTTCCACCCACCCCCATAGTCATGACATACTTTCCACCCACCCCCATAGCAACGACAAACTTTCCACCCACCCCCATAGCCACGACACACTTTCCACCCACCCCCATAGCCACGACATACTTTCCACCAACCCCTATAGCCACGACATACTTTCCACGCACCCTATAGCCACGACACACTTTCCATCCACCCCTATAGCCACGACACACTTTCCACACACCCCATAGCCACGACACATTTCCCCACTCCCATAGCCACGACACACTTTCCACCAACCCCCATAGCCACGACATACTTTCCACCCACCCTATAGCCACGACACACTTTCCACCCACCCCCATAGCCACGACATACTTTCCACCAACCCCTATAGCCACGACACACTTTCCACCCACCCCTATAGCCACGACATTTTTCCACCAACCCCTATAGCCACGACATACTTTCCACCCACCCCTATAGCCACGACACACTTTCCACCCACCCCCACAGCCACGACATACTTTCCACCCACCCCCATAGCCACGACACACTTTCCACCCACCCCCATAGCCACGACACACTTTCCATCCACCCCCATAGCCACAACACACTTTCCACCCACCCCCATAGCCACGACACACTTTCCATCCACCTTCATAGCCACGACACACATTCCATCCACCCCTATAGCCACGCCACACTTTCCATACACCCCCATAGCCACGACACACTTTCCATCCACCCCTATAGCCAAGACACACTTTTCACCCACCCCTATAGCCACGACACACTTTCCATCCACCCCCATAGCCACAACACACTTTCCACCCACCCCCATAGCCACGGCACACTTTCCATCCACCCCCATAGCCACGACACACATTCCATCCACCCCTATAGCCACTCCACACTTTCCATACACCCCCATAGCCACGACACACTTTCCATCCACCCCTATAGCCAAGACACACTTTTCACCCACCCCTATAGCCAAGACACACTTTCCATCCACCCCCATAGCCACGACACACTTTCCACCAACCCCCACAGCCACGACACACTTTCCACCCACCCCCATAGCCATGACACACTTTCCACCCACCCTATAGCCACGACACTCTTTCCACACACCCCCATAGCGACGACACACTTTCCACCCACCCCCATAGCCATGACATACTTTCCACCCACCCCTATATCCGCGACACACTTTCCACCCTGTTCCATAGCTAAGACACACTTTCCACCCACCCCTATAGCCACGACACACTTTCCACCAACCCCCATAGCCACGACACACTTTCCAGCCACCCCCATAGCCACGACACACTCTCCACCCACCCCAATAGCCATGACACATTTTCCATCCTTCCTCATAGACGCTTCAGATGAAGAATGACGTACATGTCGTCGTGTGTTCCTGGCGTGGGCTGCAGTTGCAGTTGTCGGTGATGGTAATTAATAGTACATCTACAGTCATCAAACAGTCGCACTAATCATCATGTCACGTGTATCCTATGTGCATGTAACATTTTGTTTCAGCAGAGACTGTGTTGACGGTCGAATCCCCGCCACCACAGATCGACCCTGTTCAAGGTGAGGACGTGGTTGAGGAAGAACCAACGCCTAACGTGGAACCCATCGCAGAGATTCACCTGGAAGAAAAGGAGACGACAAAAGCAGAACCTGTCCAGGAGGTTGAGGAGGAGGAGGAACCAGCGAAGATAGAAGAGGAAGACGTAGAGACTATATCTGTGTTTGACATGGTTAAAGGGTTTGAGCACATCAAGAGAGATCCCAGTGTCAAGAAGGTGCCCAAAGAGTTCCGGAAGAGAACAACAGTGACTCTAACAAAACAGTGAAGTTTTCTCCAGCTTCAGTGTCGATATCAGAAACCTATTGAACCATTGCATTCACATATGCATAGATGCACAGACACAGAAACACACATACATAGACACAGATACACACATGCACTGACACAGATACACACATACATAGACATAGATACACACATACATAGACACATATACACACATACATAGATACAGATACACACATACATAGACACAGATACACACATACATAGACACAGATACACACATACATAGATACAGATACACACATACATAGACACAGATACACACATACATAGATACAGATACACACATACATAGACACAGATACACACATACATAGACATAGATACACACATACATAGACACATATACACACATACATAGATACAGATACACACATACATAGACACAGATACACACATACATAGACACAGATACACACATACATAGATACAGATACACACATACATAGACACAGATACACACATACATAGACACAGATACACACATACATAGATACAGATACACACATACATAGACACAGATACACACATACATAGACACAGATACACACATACATAGACAAAGATACACACATACATAGACACAGAAACACACACGACGTGATAGTACTGGAATAATGTTCGAGGAGGCGTTAAACCCATCTAACTCACTCACTAACTCACTCACCCCCCCCCCCCCCCCCCCCCCCCCCCCCCTTGCCTGTCCCCCAGGAAGATCCGGGTTAGAACTGATCTTCAACAACCCATGCTTGTCGTAAGAGGCGACTAACGGGATCGGGTGGTCAGGATCGCTGACTTGGCGCATGATGTCAGTCACTGGATCGTCTGGTCCAGACTCGAATCTTTACAGATCGCCGTCATATGACTGGATGATGCTGAATGCGGGCGTTGAACAACATACAAACATCCTACTTATATGAACTATAAGTTACTGGAGAATTGTGAGATCAAAGAACTGCCTATACAGGATAGCGATCTTGAAAGTCTGTGTTTCCGATATAAAGGATGAAATATACAAATGCGTAGATTCCTACACCTATATGGGCTGATGTATCGTGTGCAATAAATGCAGATATTTCCAAATGAGAATGATTTGTCATAATTGTGTGCGTATGTCTTGTCCATATGCGTTTTTTAAATTAAAATGGATGTGTGTGAGGGCGTAACAGGGGTGTGAGAGGTTTGGAATTAGGGGACTGTTTAAGGGGAGTGTGTATGAGGGAAGCGTGTTAGGGGTATGTGTGAAGGATGTATATGAGGGAAGCGTGTTAGGGGTATGTGTGAAGGATGTGTGTGAGGGAAGCGTGTTAGGGGTATGTGTGAAGGATGTGTGTGAGGGAAGCGTGTTAGGGGTATGTGTGAAGGATGTGTGTGAGGGAAGCATGTTAGGGGTATGTGTGAGGGAAGCGTGTTAGGGGTATGTGTGAAGGATGTGTGTGAGGGAAGCATGTTAGGGGCATGTGTGAAGGATGTGTATGAGGGAAGCGTGTTAGGGGTATGTGTGAGGGAAGCGTGTTAGGGGTATGTGTGAAGGATGTGTGTGAGGGAAGCATGTTAGGGGCATGTGTGAAGGATGTGTATGAGGGAAGCGTGTTAGGGGTATGTGTGAAGGATGTGTGTGAGGGAAGCATGTTAGGGGTATGTGTGAAGGATGTGTGTTAGGGGTATGTGTGAAGGATGTGTGTGAGGGAAGCATGTTAGGGGTATGTGTGAAGGATGTGTGTTAGGGGCATGTGTGAAGGATGTATATGAGGGAAGCATGTTAGGGGTATGTGTGAAGGATGTGTGTTAGGGGTATGTGTGAAGGATGTGTGTGAGGGAAGCATGTTAGGGGCATGTGTGAAGGATGTGTATGAGGGAAGCGTGTTAAGGGTATGTGTGAGGGATGTGTATTAGGGAAGCGTGTTAGGGGTATGTGTGAAGGATGTGTGTGAGGGAAGCATGTTAGGGGTATGTGTGAAGGATGTGTGTTAGGGGTATGTGTGAAGGATGTGTGTCAGGGAAGCGTGTTAGGGGTATGTGTGAAGGATGTGTGTGAGGGAAGCATGTTAGGGGTATGTGTGAGGGAAGCGTGTTAGGGGTATGTGTGAAGGATGTGTGTGAGGGAAGCATGTTAGGGGTATGTGTGAAGGATGTGTGTTAGGGGTATGTGTGAAGGATGTGTGTGAGGGAAGCGTGTTAGGGGTATGTGTGAAGGATGTGTGTGAGGGAAGCATGTTAGGGGCATGTGTGAAGGATGTGTGTGAGGGGTATGTGTGAAGGATGTGTGTGAGGGGTATGTGTGAGGGAAGCGTGTTAGGGGTATGTGTGAAGGATGTGTGTGAGGGGTATGTGTGAGGGAAGCGTGTTAGGGGTATGTGTGAAGGATGTGTGTGAGGGGTATGTGTGAAGGATGTGTGTGAGGGGTATGTGTGAGGGAAGCGTGTTAGGGGTATGTGTGAATGATGTGTGTGAGGGGTATGTGTGAAGGATGTGTGTGAAGGATGTGTGTGAGGGGTATTTGTGAAGGATGTGTGTGAGGGAAGCGTGTTAGGGGTATGTGTGAAGGATGTGTGTGAGGGAAGCGTGTGAGGGGTTTGTGTGAAGGATGTGTGTGAGGGGTATGTGTGAAGGATGTGTGTGAGGGAAGCGTGTTAGGGGTATGTGTGAGAGGAGAGTTTAAGAGGAGTGTGTGAGAGGGGTGTTTGAGTGGGGTGTGAGATCGACAGAGGGTCCATCTCACACTTCCCTCAAACACACTCCTCTCAATCACCCCTCTCACACACTCCTCTCACACCCCTCTTACACACTCCTCTCACACACTCCTCTCGCACCCCTCTCACACACCCCTCTCACACACTCTTCTCACAACACTCTCACACACCCCTCTCACACGCTCCTCTCACTAACCCCTCTCACACAGCCCTCTCACATCCCCCTCACACGCTCCCCTCACACCCTCCTCTCACTAACCCCTCTCAGACACCCCTCTCACATCCCTCTCACACACACCACTCACACACACCTGTGGAGTGTGTGAGAGGAGCGTGACTGGCGTGTGTGAGGGGAGTATATAAGAAGGATGTGTGAGAGGGGTGTGTGAGGGGGTTATAAATAGACGGAGGAGAGTGTGTGAGGAGTGTCTGAGAGGGAAGTGTGAGAGGAGTGTGTGAGAGGGGTGTGTGAGTTGGGTGTGTGAGAGGAGTGTGTGAGAGGGGTGTGAGGGGAGCGTGTGAGAGGGGTGTGTGAGGGGGTTAGAGATGGGTGGAGGGGAGTGTGTGAGGGCGTAACATATGGAAAGAAGGGAGTGTGTGAGAGGAGTGTGTGAGAGGAGTGTGTGAGAGGAGTGTTTGAGGGGGTTACTGATGGACGGAGGGGAGTTTGTGAGAGGAGTGTGTGCGAGGGGTGTGTGAGAGGAGTGTTTGAGAGGGTTATAGATGGACGGAGGAGAGTTTTTGAGGGGAGCGTGTGAGGGGTTGTGTGAAGGATGTGTGTGAGGTTAAAATGTGAGGGCGTAGCATATGGAATAATGGGTAGTGTGTGAGAGGAGTGTGTGAGAGGAGTATTTGAGAGGTTTTCAGACGGACGGAAGGGTGTGTGTGAGAGGGGTTGTGTGAGGGGGTTACAGATGGACGGAGGGGTGTGTTTGAAAGGGGTGTGTGAGGGGTATGTGTGAAAGATGTGTCTGAGGGGAGCGTGTGAGGGGAGTGTGTGAGGGGTGTGTGTGAGGGGTGTGTGTGAGGGGGTTACAGATGGATGGAGGAGAGTGTGTCAGGGGACTGTTTGAAAGGGGTGTGTATGAGGGGTGTGAATGAGTTGAGTGTGTGACGGTAGTGTGTGTGGGCGTTACAGATGGAAGAAGGGGAGTGTGTGAGGGATGCGTGTGAGAAGTGTGTGTGAGGAAAGTGTGAGGGGGTAATTGATTGACGGAGGCTAGCGTGTTAGAGGACTGTGTGAAGGGTGTGTGTGAGGTGTGTGAGTGAGGGGGATGTGGGGTGTGTGTATGTGAGGGTAATGTATGAGGGGAGTGTACAAGAGGAGTGTGTGAGGGGTGTTTTCGAGGGGTGTGTGTGAGGGGTGTGTGTGAGGGGGGTGTGTGAGGGGTGTGTGCGGGGAGTGTGAGGGGAGTGTGAGGGGGCTGTATGAAGGGTGTGTGTGAGGGGAGTGTGAGGGGGCTGTATGAAGGGTGTGTGTGAGGGGAGTGTGAGGGGAGTGTGAGAGGGCTGTATGAAGGGTGTGTGTGAGGGGAGTGTGAGGGGGCTGTATGAAGGGTGTGTGTGAGGGGTGTGTGAGGGGGCTGTATGAAGGCTGTGTGTGAGGGGAGGGTGTGAGGGGGCTGTATGAAGGGTGTGTGTGAGGGGAGTGTGTGAGGGGGCTGAATGAAGGGTGTGTGTGAGGGGAGTGTGTGAGGGGGCTGTATGAAGGGTGTGTGTGAGGGGAGTGTGTGAGTGGGCTGTATGAAGGGTGTGTGTGAGGGGAGTGTGTGAGGGGGCTGTATGAAGGGTTTGTGTGAGGGGAGTATGTGAGGGGGCTGTATGAAGGGTGTGTGTGAGGGGAGTGTGTGAGGGGGCTGTATGAAGGGTGTGTGTGAGGGGAGTGTGTGAGGGGGCTGTATGAAGGGTGTGTGTGAGGGGAGTGTGTGAGGGGGCTGTATAAAGGGTGTGTGTGAGGGGTGTGTGTGAGAGGGCTGTATGAAGGGTGTGTGTGAGGGGTGTGTGAAGCGGCTGTATGAAGGGTGTGTGTGAGAGGGGTGTGTGAGGGGGCTGTATGAAGGGTGTGTGTGAGGGGAGTGTGTGAGGGGGCTGTATGAAGGGTTTGTGTGAGGGGAGTATGTGAGGGGGCTGTATGAAGGGTGTGTGTGAGGGGAGTGTGTGAGGGGGCTGTATGAAGGGTGTGTGTGAGGGGAGTGTGTGAGGGGGCTGTATGAAGGGTGTGTGTGAGGGGAGTGTGTGAGGGGGCTGTATAAAGGGTGTGTGTGAGGGGTGTGTGTGAGAGGGCTGTATGAAGGGTGTGTGTGAGGGGTGTGTGAAGCGGCTGTATGAAGGGTGTGTGTGAGAGGGGTGTGTGAGGGGGCTGTATGAAGGGTGTGTGTGAGGGGAGTGTGTGAGGGGGCTGTATGAAGGGTGTGTGTGAGGGGGCTATATGAA